ATGTGAGGCAATGCGTTTTGTTAGAAGAAACATAGAGAGACAATGCAGGCTCAGTAGTACAACTTTGAGGGTGTACAGGAACAAAGGGACCTCAGAGTTCATGTACATGATTTTCTGAGGTGGCCAAGCAAGTTGAAACAGTTGTTAAAAAGGCTTAAAGCATCCTTGGGTTTATAAATAGAGACATAGAATATAAAAGCAAGGAAGCGACACTATACCTCCACAATCATTGGTCAGATCACAATGGAGTATTGTGTTCACTTGTAGATTCCTTATTTAAGGAAAAATGTTAAAGCCCTGGAGAGAGCTCAAAGAAGATTTACGAGAATGATATCAGGAATGAGGGATTTTTAGATACAACGAAAGATTAGAGAATTGGGCTTACTGTCCTTGGACCAGAGAAGATTAAGACATGACCTTGTTCAAATTATGAACAAGTTTGTCAGAAGCTATTCTGTATGCACTTGTTGGTATGTCAGTAACTAGGGGCCACAATTTCAAGAGTGTCAGCAAGAGCACTAAGAGTGACATGAGCAGAAATTTCTTTACTCAGAGTTGTTAGGATTTGGAATGCATTGCCTGGGAGAGTGGTGGAGCCAGATTCCATAGAAATTTCAAGAGACAGCTGGATATATATTTGAAAGTGATGAATTTAGAGAGCTATGGAGAGGAAGTTGCAGAATGGGGCGAGCTGGGTTGCTCTTTTGGGAGCCAGTACAGATACGATGTGTTGAATGGCCTCCTGCTGTACTGTAAAATTCTATGATTCTATGCTATTTTACTCAGAGAATTATCAGGATTTGGAATGTGCTGCCTGGGAGACTGGTGGAGGCAGATACCATGGGAGGTTTCAAAAGACAGCTGGATATTATTTGGAGAAAGCAAGAACTGCAGATGCTGGAGTCAGAGATAACACAGTGTGGAGCTGGAGGAACACAGCAGGCTGGGCAGCATCAGAGAAGCAGGAAAGTTGATGTTTAGGGTCGGGACCCTTCTTCAGAAATGGGGAGGGGGAACGGAGCTCAGAAATAAATAGAGAGAGGAGGGGTGGGGCTGGGGAAGGTACCTACCATTTATTCCTACTTTTTGTTTTCTATCTGCCAACGATTTTCTGCCTATCTCAATACAATAGCCCCAATCCCATGTGCTTTCATTTTACACACTAACCTCACATGTGGGACTGTTGTGAGCCTTCTGAAAGTCCAGATAAATCACATCCACTGGTTTCTCCTTATCAATGCTACTAATTATATCCTTAAAGAATGTCAGTAGATTTTCCTTTCCTAAATCTATGCTGACTTCGTCTGATCCTGTCATAGTTTTCCAAGTGGTCTGCTATTAATTCCTTTATAATCTAATATATTACCCGCTACCAACATATGACTCATTGGTGTGTAATTCCTGGTTTTCTCTCTGCCTCCCTTCTTAAACAGGTTACCTTAGCTACCCTCCAGTTTGTAGGAATTATTCTGTAGTCAATAGAATCTTGGAAGATGACCGCCAGTGCAACCATTATTTGTAGGGCCACTTCCTTAAGTACTGTGGGATGTACATTATCTCAGTCTGGGTAGTTATCAGCCTTCAATCCCATCAAATTTCCCAACACTGTTTCCCTACTAATATTGATCTCCTTCAGCTCTTCCCTCTTGTTAAACACTGTTCCCCAGTATTTCTGGTTTCTTATTTGCGTCCTTTGTGAGCACAGACCAAAGTACGTATTCAGTTCGTCAGCCATTTCTTTGTTCCCTATTATAGGGACTGGAAGGGGCCTACATTTGTCTTCATGATTCTTTTTCTCTTCACAAACCTATACAAACTTTTACAGTCAGTTTTATGTTCCCTTCAACCTTTACTCTACTTTCCCGTTTTCCTCCTTCGCTAAAGTATAAACTGCTCCCACTTCTCATGTCTGTTGATATTTTTGGCCAATTTCTACACCTCTTCCTCGAATCTAATACTATCTTTGTAAGTCATAGTTTGGCCACCTTTCCCATTTTACTTTTGGACAGGAATGAAGAGTTGTTGCCTTCACCCATGTACTCTTTGATTGCTTGCCATTGCCTTTCTGCTGTTAACCTATTCAGTAGTGATCCCTAATCTATTATAGCCAACTCACACCCCATATCATTGTAGTTTCCCTTCTTTACATTCAGGACCCTAGTTTCAGAATCAACTTCAGTACTATCCATCTGAATGAAGAATTCTAGGAATTCCTCCCCTACAGTGTTGTTACTAATTTGATTTGGCCCATCTATATGCAGCTTAAAGTCACCTATAATTACAAATGTTATGACGACACATGTGTCTCAAATTTCTTGTTTAATGCCATTTCCCAACATCTCCCCTCCAGTTTGGTGATCTGTACACAAGCTCCGCTAATATTTTTTGTGCCTCGGCGTCATTGAGCGCTACCCACATTCCACATCATTGCAGCCAATATCCTTCCTCACTGTTACATTAATTTTTTCTTTAACCAGCAATTCATCTCCACTACTATTTCCTTTCTGTCTGTCCTTCCTAAATACTGAATACTGGTGGATATTCATTTTCCATCTCTGGTCACCTTGCAGCCATGTCTCTCTAATTCTGCCTATACCTTATCCATTCATATCTATTTGCGCAATTAATTCCTTCATGTTATTGCAGATGCCATGTGCATTAAGGCACAAAGCCTTAAGGCTTGTCTATTAAACATTATTGGTCCTGTGCCCATTATTTTTCACCTTGCATAGGTACCCTGTCCTCTGCCATTTTAGTTTAAAGTCTTCACATCCCCTCTAGTAAATACCTCCTCAGGACATCAGTCCTGATCTTTCCCAGGTGAAACCCATAAGACCCTAAGATAAAGAAGCAGAATTAGGCCATTTGGCCCTTTGAGTCTGCTCCGCCACTTGACCATGCTGATATGTTTCTCAACCCTATGCTCCTGCCATCTCCCAGTAACCCTTGATCTCCTTTCTAGTCAAGGATCTATCAATCTCTGTCTTAAATGCACTTAATGAATTGGCCTCCGCAGCCCTCTGCGGCAATGACTTCCACCCTTTGACTGGAGAAATTTCTCCTCATTTCAGTTCCAAAGGGTGGCCCCTTCACTCTGAGGCTATGCCCTTGGGTCCTGATCTCTCCTACCATGGAAACATCTTCTCCACATCGATTCTATCCAGATCTCTCAGTAATCTGTAAGTTCCAATGATATTCCACCACCCCCCACCCCAATCCTTCTGCAGACACAGAGTCCTCAGTCACATCTCATATGATAAGTCCTTCTTCCTCAGGATCATTCTTGTAAAGCTTCTCTGAACACTTATCCCCCCAACCTCTCCAATGCCAGCACATCTATCCTTAGCTTTGGGGCCCAAAACTGCCACCGTATTTCAAATGCGGTCTGACTGGAACAAATCGTCAATGTTCTTACCTTCTAGACCTTTTGAAATGAATACTAACATTGCATGTCAGAGCAAAGAACAGTACAGCACAGGAAGAGGCCCTTCGGCCCACCGAGACTGCACTGACACATGATGCCTTTCTAAACTAAAAACCTTTTGCCTCTACCTGGCCCATATTCCACTATTCCCTGCATATTCATATATCTGTCAAGATGCCTCTTAAGTACAGCTATTCTTTCTGCCTCCACCATCTCCTCTGGCACTTACCACCCTCTCTGTAAAAAAAACTTGTCACATCTCCATTAAACTTTCCCTCTTTCACCTTAAATCTACGTCTCCACTAATCGACATTTCTACCCTAGAAAAAAGACTCCGACTATCTAATTTATCTACGCCTGCCATAATTTTGTAAACTTCTATCAGGTCAGCCCTCATCCTCCAAGGTTCAAGTGAAAACAAAATCAAGCTAATAGCCCCCAAACCAGGCAACATCCTGGTAAGCCGTTTCTGTATCCTCTCCAAATCCTCCACATCCTTCTTGTCATATGGTGACGGAACTGTATGCAATATTCAAAATGTAGCCTAATTAAAATTCTACACAGCTTTAACATGACGTGCCAATTTTTATACTCTGTATTTCAACTGATGAACGCTAGCCTTCTTGAGTACCGTATCCTCTTGTGTTGCCACTTTCAGGGAACTGTAGACCTGTATGCCTAGATTTGCCCATTCCTAGTTTATCCAAATCCTTCTGCAGCCACCCCGATTCCTCAACACTACCTGCCCCTCCACCTATCTTTGTGCCATCTGCAAATTTAGCCAGAATACCCACAGTTCCTTCATCTTCCTTCATATATAATGCGAATAATTGTGGTCCCAACACTGAACCCTGCAGAACTCCACTAGTTACCAGCTACTGTCCTGAAAAAGACCGCTTTATCCCCACCCTCCTGCTCCAGAATGTTCTGTAACTGCTCTGAGATGTCCTTGGCCCTAGCACCAGAGAAGCAATGTAGCATCTCATTTGCAGACACAAAAATCCCTTACAATTGAACCCACTTTTAACTATTGCATTCCTACACTTCACTCCTCCCCTGTGAGTCAGGGCCAACCCTGATGCTATGAATCCGGTGTCGCTGCCTTCCCCTCAACAGTACCCAAAGTGATGTATCTGTTTTGTCGGTGAATAGCCATAGGAAACCCTTGGGCTGCCTCCCAAGACCTCTTGTTCTGCCTCGTGGTCACACATTCCCTTCTCGCTGTGGAGTTTTAGCATGTAATGTGACCATTTCTCTATGTGTTATCCATGACACACACTGCCTTGTGAATGCTCCGCAGTGACCCCAGCTGCTGCTCCAACTCCAGCTCTGAAGTTTGGTCTTTAAGGAGCTGTAGTTAGAGACATTTCCTGCACACGTGATGGCCCGAGGCCCTGGAAATGTTTATGGCTTCCCTTATAGAGCAGGAACAGCAAACCGTGGCTTTGCGCGCTCTCACCATGATTTACCCCTTAAGAAGATGCTTCATATGACATAATATCAGTTATTTTAGGCTCTTATTCCCCGGTCCTCATTGCTATAGTATATACTCCTTGCAAACTATAAACCATAAAAGAAAAGCAACACGCATGTCTTCTCCCCAGCACAGGAATTCCTACTGTGCTCTTAATTTCCAGAACTAAGCACTCACTCTGGCTGCACCTTGCCTTTTTGTCTTTGTCTAGGCTACAGAAAATGGTCCCTGTGATTCAGTGGCAGACAGCTGAATTTATGAGGGGAATGGGAGCTAGGATTTGGGACCTGCTGTTCCAGTCTGATGCTTTTTCTGGTGCTTTTTTCCAGATCCTGGGTGATTACGAGGAGCTTCCAAAACATTTGTTCAACTGCCTTTCGACAAATCACTTGTGCTCTGCAGCCTCTGAGCTGTACCGGACAATACTGCAGCAGCACAGGTTGGAATGCACCTTGACCCAGGGAACCCTGTCTGAACAGGAGCTGGCAGAGAGTTGGGCTCAGTCATGGCTTCAAATATTGGCTGAGGCTTTGACCTCTGACAACCCATTATATCAGCAGAACACAGCCAATTATTTCCTAGGAAGAACACTGAAGATCTTCCCAGCATCCTTCCACCTACTGGCTAGGGCATTTGATGGTAGCCACTCTGAACATCGCCTTGGCTGGATCACCTTAGTCAGCACACAGCAGATGACTTCTGGGTCCCTGCCCATGGAGGCCGACACACTGAGGAATTTGAGGGCCTCCCTACATTGCCTGGATGACCGTGTGCGCCTCCGTGCTCTTGCTCTGCTATGCATCAGCCCTAAAACCAACCAGGCACTGAGTTCGAAGGCCATGGGTCTGCTGAAGGAGTTCTTACCTCTCAACTTGAATTGCAGTTCCTCTTCATTCAGACAGTTGCTTCAGGTTAGTGTGAAGAAAGCCCTGGTGAGGATCAGAGACAGCTGTCTTCTGAACCTTCGTGCACTGAGAAGGTCGGACAACAGCAAGAAGGGAGGAGAAGGATACCCAGGAGCAGCAGCCATTGTATTTGAGGGTGTTGGTAAGTCAAAGTTTTTCTTACTTGTTGTGACTTATTGTAAGCATGAGCCTTATTCTCTAGACAGATAGGAGGAGACAGGTCTTGCAATCTCAGATCTTCTCCCTGGATAACATGATTTAAAACAACAACAACTTGCATTGATGTAGTAAAATGCCCCAAGGTACAAGGACAATTAATTCATAGAAATTCCACTGATCATAAGATCGTAGCTGATCTGGTGTGGGTCGCAGCTCATTCTCTTATCGACAACTCACACATGCACTCCTTATCTATCTAACTCAGCCTTGAATAAATGTAGTGGCCCCACCTCCATGGTAGAAACTAGGACATGGTATTAAATGATCTAACAGACATTTAGCTCACGAATATATACAAATACTACATTCACATCAGTGTCTGGGCTAACATTAACCTATTCAATTACAAAGAGTCGAATGCTTCCGTCGGCTTCAAGTGGTTCCAAGTAAACTTGAATCTGAGACCTTTATCCCTTCAGGTTGCATGCTGTGATACGGTGATGACATATTGAGTAGTATCTTAAAAGCATACTGACATACAAACTGAGACACCTAATACAATTAACATAAGGGAGTGTGAGTTGGTGTTACTTTAAGGGACAGAAGGATTTCACAGACCTCAAGTTTACAGAAAAAGTAGAATGTAAGAAACCAGCTAGAAAAGTGCGGGAATAGTCAAGTCAAAGGTAATAGGGTTTCTGCAGCTGATGGACTGAGATGGCTGGATTTGGACAATGTTACAGAAGTGATAATAGACTGCAGGAAATAATCAGGATTGACCAGAAGCTCAGCCTTGGAGTCAAATATGAGACCAACATTATGAGTAGTCTGCTTCCGCCCAGCATCAGGGAGAGAGAGATTGCTGATGGTTAAGAAATAAAGTTTGGTCCTGGGTTCAAAATCGCTGGTTTTCTTCCTACTGTTTAATTGGAGGACAGTTCTGCACATGCCTTACTGGATATCAGATAAACAGTCTGATAGTTCAGCAACAGTAGAGGGGGTGAGAGAGCTAGTGGTGAAACAGAAGTGAATGTTTTCAGCATAGATGTAAAACTACTTGCGTATTTGGATGATGTTAACTTGATGGCAAATAGGACAGAGGCAAAGTTAAGGAGAAGGCATTGCAAGAGTTTCCCTAAGTACAATTTCGATAGATCGGGGGATAGTAAGAACTGCCAATGCTGGAGTCTGAGATAACACAGTGTGGAGCTGGAGGACAGATTGGGACTGGGTGAAGACAGTTTTCACTGGCTGGTCAACAGAAAAAGGATGGTTTGGTCTGCTGTGTACCATGGAAGAGAGTGCTTTAGGGAGACAGTTGGCAGGGTGTGGCTTCTCTGAATTCCTGGTTGATCCTGGAATATTGATTAGTTTTAGTAAATGAGAGCAGGGCACTAAAAGCTTCATGTGGTTCAGATGGATCTGGCAGGCCAAGCCATTTGTCTGCCATATACATCCCAAGTCTGCATCCTTTGGCCTTAATGGAGAAGAGGTGAGGGGCAGACTTAAGCATAGAAAGATGAGAGATAGGAGTAGAAGACTGTATGACACATGTGCCTGAACCCAAGTCATCAATCTCATCCACACTAATATTCAGAATGTCCAAATTGGCACCAAGTGACTGGGTCAAAACAGGTGGAACCTTCAGCTCCCCACAGTTAGATGCTTACGAGTATCAGTTGAACACAGATGCATTTCAGTCTCCCACATGCTCCACAAAATGCTTGGACTCTTCTTCCAATGAGCGACATCATTTCTCCAAGTTCTCCCCCTCTTATTTGGGTGCAGTTTTGAAGGAGGGGTATCACCATGTCTGTTAAGGTTTCTGGCTCTGTATTCTCTCCTTCTTACATTTGAGGCCTACTATGGGATTACAAGCCTCAAAATACTGGATACGGGATTAAAAAAGTTTAGTATGTTTGCAGAATTTCATGATCACTCATGGACATGTGGAGTTATTCACAGATAACAAGGTGTAGAGCTGGATGAACACAGCGGGCCAAGCAGCATCAGAGGAGCAGGAAAGCTGACGTTTCGGGCCTAGACCCTTCTTCAGAAGTGGGGGAGGGGAAGGGGTTTCTGAAATAAATAGGGAGAGATGGGGAGGCGGAAAGAAGATGGAAGAGGAGAAGATGGGGGAGAGGAGACAGACAGTCAAAGAGGCGGGGTTGGAGCCACTGAAGGTGAGTGTAGGTGGGGAGATAGGGAGGAAGGGAGGAGATAGGTCAGTCCAGGGAGGATGGACAGGTCAAAGGGGCGGGATGAGGTTAGTAGGTAGGAGATGGGGGTGGGGCTTGAGATGGGAGGAGGGGAGAGGTGGGAGGAAGGACAGGTTAGGGAGGCGGGGACAAGCTGGGCTGGTTTTGGGATGCGGTAGGGGGAGGGGAGATTTTGAAGCTTGTGAAGTCCAGATTGATACCATTGGGCTGCAGGGTTCCCAAGCAGAATATGAGTTGCTGTTCCTGCAACCTTCGGGTAGCATCATTGTGGCACTGCAGGAGGCCCAGGATGGACCTGTCGTCTGAGGAGTGGGAGGGGGAATTGAAATGGTTCGCGACTGGGAGGTGCAGTTGTTTAGTGCGAACCGAGCGTAGATGTTCTGCAAAGCGGTCCCCAAGCCTCCGCTTGGTTTCCCCGATGTAGAGGAGGCCACAATGGGATTAGCGGATGCAGTATACCACATTAGCAGATGTACAGGTGAAACTGCTTGATGTGGAAAGTCTTCTTGGGGCCTGGGATAGGGGTGAGGGAGGAGGTGTAGGGACAGGTGTAGCACTTCCTGCGGTTGCAGGGAAAAGTGCCGGGTGTGGTGGGGCTGGAGGGGAGTGTGGAGCTGACAAGGGAGTCCCGGAGAGAGTGGTCCCTCCGGAAAGCAGATAAGGGTGGGGAGGGAAAAATGTCTTTGGTGGTGGGGTCGGATTGCAGATGGCGGAAGTGTCGGAGGATGATGCGTTGTATCTGGAGGTTGGTGGGGTGGTACGTGAGGACGAGGGGGATTCTGTTTTGGTTGTTATTGCGGGGAGTGGGTGTGAGGGATGAGTAGCGGGAAATGCGGGAGACACGGTCGAGGGCGTTCTCGACCATTGAGGGGGGGGATCTTGCGGTCGTTCGAAACGAGGACATCTGAGGTGTAAAGGAGTGGAATGCCTCATCCTGGGAGCAGATGCGGCGGAGGCGAAGGAATTGGGAATAGGGGATGGCATTTTTGCACGAGGGTGGGTGGGAGGAGGTGTATTCCAGGTAGCTGTGGGAATCGGTGGGCTTGAAATGGATATCGGTTTCTAGGTGGTTGCCAGAGATGAAGACAGAGAGATCCAGGAAGGAGAGAGAGGTATTAGAGATGGTCCAGGTGAACTTAAGGTTGGGGTGGAAAGTGTTGGTGAAGTGGATGAACTGTTCGAGCTCCTCGTGGGAGCACGAGGCGGCGCCGATACAGTTATCAACGTAACGGAGGAAGAGGTGGGGTTTCGGGCCAATGTAGGCACGGAAGAGGGATTGTTCCACGTAACCTACAAAGAGGCAGGCATAGCTTGGGCCCATGCGGGTACCCATGGCCACCCCCTTTGTCTGTAGGAAGTGGGAGGAATTGAAAGAGAAGTTGTTGTGGGTGAGGACGAGTTCAGCTAAGCGGATGAGGGTGTCAGTGGAGAGGGACTGGTCAGGCCTGCGGGACAGGAAGAAGCAGAGGGCCTTTAGGCCATCTGTATGGGGAATGCAGGTGTAGGGGGACTGGATGTCCATGGTAAAGATGAGGTGTTGGGGACCGGGGAATTGGAAGTTCTGGAGGAGGTGGCGGGCGTGGGTGGTGTCACGGACGTAGGTAGGGAGTTCCTGGACCAAGGGGGAGAAAATGGAGTGGAGATAGGTGGAGATAAGTTCGGTGGGGCAGGAGCAGGTGGAGACAATGGGTTGACCAGGGCAGTCAGGTTTGTGGATTTTGGGAAGGAGATAGAAGCGGGCGGTGCGGTGTTGGGGAACGATGAAGTTGGAGGCTGTAGGTGGGAGGTCGCTTGAGGTGATAAGGTTGTGGCTGGTTTGGGAGATGATGGTTTGGTGGTTGGGGGTGGGGTCACGATCAAGGGGGCGGTAGGAGGAGGTGTCGGAGAGTTGGCGCCTGGCCTCGGCGATGTAGAGGTCAGTGCGCCATACTACAACTGTGCCTCCCTTGTCCGCGGGTTTTATGATGAGGTTGGGATTGGAGCGGAGGGCTGCACGTTCTGCGGGGAAGAGGTTGGAGTGGGTGAGAGGGGTGGAGAGGTTGAGGCGATTGATGTTTCGGAATGCCCAATGATATCAATGTGGACTTCACAAGCTTCAAAATCTCCCCTCCCCCTACTGCATCCCAAAACCAGCCCAGCTCATCCCCACCTCCCTAACCTGTCTTTCCTCCCACCTAGCCCCTCCTCCCACCTCAAGCCCCACCCCCATCTCCTACCTACTAACCTCATCCAGCCCCCTTGACCTGTCTGTCCTCCCTGGACTGACCTATCTCCTCCCTACCTCCCCACCTACACTCACCTTTACTGGCTCCATTCCCGCCGCTTTGACCTGTCTGTCTCCTCTCCACCTATCTCCTCCTCTATCCATCTTCTATCCGCCTCCCCCTCTCTCCCTATTTATTTCAGAAACCCCTTCCCCTCCCCCGTTTCTGAAGAAGAGTCTCGGCCTGAAACGTCAGCCTTCCTGCTCCTCTGATGCTGCTTGGCCTACTGTGTTCATCCAGCTCTACACCTTGTTATCTCAGATTCTCCAGCATCTGCAGTTCCTACTATCTCTGGAGTTATTCACAGGTTGGATTATGCTTCCTGGTGTGAGAGGGGAATGAAATAACTCCACAGAGGCGGTATCCTGTCAACGAGTCACCCTTTACTTACAACGAACAGTCCTTGACTGTAATACTGCCTCTTCAGAGTCAGGTCTCCAAGTGCCAGAATTTCTCTCAATCCTTTTTTCTCTGTCAACTAAGGCTGTCTGACTGGACCA